GGGGCCTGGAACACAGAAGCTGAGAGCAGGAACTCCAGGTGGGCACGGCCAGTGCAGCCACAGGACACAGATCCATCAGGGGAGAGGGCCCAGACTGAGCCTACCCAGGGGAGAGGTTTGGCGGATCTGAGAGGGAATTGTTGGAAGGATTGGGAGCAGCAGAAGCCGGTGATGTGGGGGACAAGAGTGTCTGCTCCTCATTCTAGGCCGAGGGTATAAAGGGGGGACACTGATGATGAAGCTGGGCCAGAGGGAGGGGTCACATGTGTGGGCTCGGAGGAAGGGCAGCAGAGGGCCACAGGCGTGAGTGCCCCAGGAGACGAGAGCAGTAGGCACAGTCACCAGCACCCAAGGACTCATTTTAAAGACACAAAAAAAGGAAGACCGATGGGGAAGAGCCTTGCCTCAAACGAACCACACGGGTGGGACTCGGCCCAAGAGCTCTTACCCCCTGCCCTTGAGCCCCAACCTGCCCTTCCCACTTCCCACTAAGAACTCGCTTGGAATCAGCAAGGGGAGCTGGATGTGTGGGTCCTGACAGAGTGGGGAATGTGGGCAGGGCCTCGCGGCACATTTTGGGAAGGGGTGGTTGTCGGGAGAGGGGCTGGGGAGGAGAGGACAGAGTCGGGAGAAAAGCGAAGGCATCTCCACCCAGGCAGCAGCTGCTGGCAAATATGTCACAACTTGTCAAAGAGGCAGAAATAGAAGCATCCGGGAAGGGGGAGGGGCAGGTGGCATGCCCAGGCCCCTGGACCCACAGAAAGGGCAGAACCAGCAAAGGAGGGGCACAGATCAGGAGCCTCCGTCCAGGGCGAGTATCACAAACCATGCCAAGGGGTTCCAGGTGGCTGGCATGGGCACCCCCACCCCTACAACGCGGCTGAAACCAGGAGCAAAGTGTAGGCTGGGAAGGAGTCTGCCCTCTCTCATCCTGCTGGCCAACCTTTCCACTCAGTCCCCTGGAGCCCCTCCTCAGGCCCCAGGCTGAGGGTCCTCTCACCCAGTGCTTGGACTTACTGATGGGGAAACCAAGGACCAGAGGGGAGACAGGGCGGCCGTGCCTTGAGTCTGCACCCAGACTTCCGGTCTCCTGCTCAGCCGCAGCCAGCAGCAATGAAGACCACAAGTGTGCACTGCACCCCATCCGGCTGGGGGTGTGCCCTCATCTTTCCTCCCACGCAGACCCGGTCACCCCCAGGCCCACACCTTTCCCCACCCCAAGGCCAGAGATGCCTGAAGGATGATCCTGGCTCTGAGCTCCGGATTCCAGGCAGAGCCGAGATTTCCCAGTGGTTACCCGATGCCCAGCTCGGGGGCCTCAGTGGAAACAATGCGAGGCCTGCAGGGGCCTCCACAGCCCCTTGGATCTCCCCATCACCATGTCTCCTATTATGGGCCTGAATTCTTCAATGCCCTCACTGTCTATCTGCCTGGGGGACCCGACACCACTGAGCAGCACTGGCTGCACCTACCTCAGTGGGGGGTGGGGAGACCAGTGGGCACGAGAGTGAGCAAGCACCTGCCCCAGTCCCCAGGCCCAAGTTCAGGCCACCACCAGTCAGTCCCCTGTCATTTCCCTTGTCTGGGCCTCTGTTGCCTTCATGCAGGGTACAGGAAGAGGGGCACGCCAGCCCTGAGTCCTCACAGCTCTGACAGCCCGTGACTCTGAGATCTGTTCTCACCTGCCAGGCCCCCCGCACATACACACAGTCAGCACCGCCTTGCTCACTGGCTCACCTGGCAGGTGTAGGCGTGTGTGCCTCACTCCAACCCCCACCCCAGCCAGGCCTCCTCAAGGACACCCGAAACTCAGGAAAACAGAAAGCAGGGCTGTGTGGGGAAGTCACAGGCTCCCACCCTTCCAAACCCTTCTTACTGCTCTGAGCACACACACACACACACACACACACACACACACACACACACACACACATACACACAGAGCAAATACTGCAAGGGCAAGCTTGCTTTGAGTTTAGTCCAGCTCAGCAGGGACAGGAGGATGCTACACGCCAGTGCTCTATGCCTGGAAGTGGTGGCAGAAGGAGATGGAAGGAGCAGGGGGCATTTGGAAAAACAGTGATACCCTGCAAATAAGATCAACCTAGCATACAGAACAAGCCTCCCCTGCTGGCCTCCCCCCTTCATCAGGAGAGGGGCTTCCTCTGGGAGGGAGCAAGCACTGCTGCGGGAAGAAGTGGCTGCAGCCGGGCCAGCCGGGGTGGGGATTAGGGCCGGACGCCCTGCTGTCAGGTTACTGCTGATGGATGGCCACTGGTGGCGGAGCACAAAGGCGGCTCTGTGCTGGGCACCAATATGTTCCCATCCATCAGAGGGCAGCTCCTGGGGTGGAGGGGCACTAGGGGCAGTTCCCCTACAGCTCAGCTCCCAAGAGCAGGATCAGGTGGGCTGGGGCTGATCCTCACTGCATTGGTGTTAGGGAGGATAGAGTGTCCTTGGAGGTCCTGTGCCCCACAGTGGGTCTTGATGGGGTCCCCAAACCATCTTGCTCAGGCCTATGCCATCATACCTACACACCAGGATCTGGGAGACCCAGGCACATGAGGTGGCCCCAAGCCCCCAGCCAAGCTCCCGGCCTCTCACCCCCAACCCCCTGCCCCTGCCGACCCTGTTTCCCTCTGCATAGGCTCTGCCTAGGGCCATGACTGCCCCTGCCCTGCCAGCTCCATCCCAACACAGACTCAGGGGGTTCTCACACAGAAAGTCTGCGTGCACAGAGGAGGCAGTGAGGGGGCTAGTCCCAGCTTTTGTCACTGGACACTGTCCCCCTCAAGTAGATGGCTTCACATATGCATCTCCTGTCCTTAGCTATGAGAGTGATGAAGGCCGAGACCTCGTACCATCCAACCCAGAGACTCCGACAGCCAGCACACGGCTCCATGCTTGTGTCTTGATAGAAAGAAAGGACCGAGGGAGAAAGCCCAGGTTCAGTTCTCATCACCCTGCACCCCCAACATGCATACACAGGCACACATGGGGAGCACACAACACAAGCACACATGAACACATGCATGTGTGAGCACATGGGAGTACATGCATGCACATGTGTGTGCTTGTGTGGGAACACACAAACAAGGGTACACATGTTGCCCTTGGTCAGCCTGGAGCCTTCTCCGAGGCGAATCCATCCTGGCTGGGTGGCAGAGTGAGTGATGGGGGCCATTAGGGCCTGGCACATCTCGTGGTCATTGTGGTGGTGCTTGCCACAGCCTCCCTGCCTCAGTTTCCCCAGCCTCCACATGCAGGCTGTTCTGTCACCCCAACATGAGCCCCGAGCCCACACACATCGGCCTTCCCAACCCGTCCTTGCCTACCTCCCCTCACCCTCCACTCAGCCCCCAGCTGGGTAAACTGAGGCAAGGCTCATCCTTGTTCCCAGCTTTGATGGAGGGGGTGGACTGGCAGGCTCCTTCTTTAGGCTCCTTCTTTAGTCTAAGGCAGGGTTGGTGGCCACAGCAGCCACATACCATTTCCTGTCTCATGGCAAGCCCAAGGGCCCCACTTTCCCCTCATGGGACCCACTGGTTCTTTCCTCGCCTCCATTTCTGCCCCCCCCCCCCAACTAAGAGGACACCAGCATTCTGCCAGCTCCTCACTAAGGATGACAGGAGGGAGGGGAACTGCCTCAAAGCCCCTTACCACATCCTACCTCCCCCCCAGCACCACTAGCTTCCTCTTCTATCCTCCACTCCACTTTGAACTTGAAATGCCAAGCCTCACCTGTCCCAGGAGAGGAGTGTGGGATGGCATTGCTCAGTCTAGTCCACAGGGTTGGCAGGGTCGGGAGGGAGGTTGGAAAAGTCAACTGCAGGTCAAGCCCAGGACCCCTGAAGCTACATGACTGTCTTGTAATATTGGTAAGAGTCTGCCACCTGTGCAGGGACTTTGGGCCCTGGGGCTGGGTCAAGTGTGGTAACCATCGTGGTCCACTGGGTGGTGAGGTGGGACAGTGGCCTGGGCTTGGGGTCCCTCTAGCCCCAACCCGGAGGCTGGATCTCTCCGGTGCTGGTACCCAAGGGCTGTCTGCTGCCCCAGGAGGATGGGACCCCCTCACATCTGGAAGCCTTATTGTGAGGAGTCCTTGAGTGGAGACACCCCGGCATTCAGTAGCCTCTGACACACTTGAGACCTGTGTGATGCCAGGAAGACTGACAGCCCACGAGGGGAGGGGTCTGAGGAGCAGCCACATGCGATGGAGGGGAGAGGAAGGGAGTTTGCCACGGGTTCCCGGACTCTGCCCCCCTGCTTTCCCAACCCCACCCCCAGCGAGGAGTCAGCTAAGCCTGGTGTGCAAGAGGTCAGCGGACGGCATTGAGTTGGCAGATATAGCCAGGGAGGCAGCCGAGTTTGATCCTGGTCGCCTCCACCAGCAGTCATGCCAACCAAGGTCTTCCAAGCCACTGGGGAACCCCAGAAGCCAAGCCTCTTGTCCCCCCAGGGGCCCCTTCCCGAGTCCCTGTTGCCTGCCACACCCTCCATCCCCAGCCACCTCTTGCTCCAAGATGATCTCTCTCCAAGGGTCCCTTCTACCTGCATAGGGAGCTCACATGCTGCCGGCGGGTGGGGAGGGGGCTCAGGGTTGCACAAGCCCCCTGAGCAGACTGCACCTTTCTAACCTGCCCTGTCCCCTCCTCCTCCTGCACCCAAGGGCTTCTCTGGAACCAGCAAGAAGAAGGCCGGCTGCCCAGCCAGGAATAATTGAAAGCAGCAGATGAGAGGGGCACATGCCCCCCACCTCTCCTGCCCCACAGGGGCTGCCGAGAAATGAAAACTAATCAAATTACACCCGACGGCCTCCCGACCCGTGCACAGGAGCCGGCGGTCAGGGGCAGGCGGCTGGGGCGGGGTGGGGGTTGTGGGGGAGAGGGAAGGGGACGCACATGTAAGCCCCTGGAACCGTCTCGATGCGCAGCAACAGCTTAGCGGGGGCTCAGGTTTCGACGGCGTGGGCTATATTTATCTCTGGTCCCATGCCAGCCGGGAGGGTTTAAATGGCACCCAGCAGTTGGCGTGAGGGGCTGCAGGAGCCTGGGGGCCGGTGGCAGGAACCAGTCTCTTCCGACCCCATGGAGCTCTACGAGACGTGCCCCTACTTCTACCAGGAGCCCCGCTTCTACGACGGGGAGAACTACCTGCCTGCCCACCTTCAGGGCTTTGAACCACCAGGCTATGAGCGGACTGAGCTCAGCCTGAGTCCCGAAGCCCGGGGACCCCTGGAAGATAAGGGGCTGGGGACCCCTGAGCACTGCCCTGGCCAGTGTCTGCCATGGGCGTGTAAGGTGTGTAAGAGGAAGTCCGTGTCAGTGGACCGGCGGCGGGCAGCCACGCTCAGGGAGAAACGCAGGCTCAAGAAGGTGAACGAGGCCTTCGAGGCCCTGAAGAGGAGCACCCTGCTCAACCCCAACCAGCGGCTGCCCAAGGTGGAGATCCTGCGCAGCGCCATCCAGTACATTGAACGCCTGCAGGCGCTGCTCAGCTCACTCAACCAGGAGGAGCGCGACCTGCGCTACCGGGCCAGTGCCGGGCCCCAGCCAGGGGTAAGCGGCCAGCCCGGGATCCCACAGCCCTGGGATTGGGGAGGGCTGAGACAGGTGTCAGGCAGGGCTTCTGGGGTTCCCATCTCATCTGATCTGTCCAGTTGACCTCCTGTGCTCTCAGGAGGTGGGGTGGAGACAACGTGGTGAGGGGAGGCCTGTGCAACTGCACTGGTCATATTCCTCCCCCACCGTCACTCCCGGGGATGAGCAAGGACTGCTTCCGGGGCTGTAGGCAGAACCTAAAAGGGTCAGGCTAAGCAATTCAGGAAAGACAACAGAGCCTCCCACTCCACCCTGACCCACAGCAGGGGCAGCCAGACCCTCAACCTTATCCTCAGGGCCGAAGACTGCTGCTAGTGAGTGTCCTGGGAGCTCAGCATCACCGCTGTGGGTGGCAGCTGGGTCCCTTGTGCAGTCAGAGGCAGGGGCAGTTGGCACGGGAGGGCCAGCCTGTGGTCCACCTTCTCTCACCCCCCACCATCCCCACCAAAGCCCACACGGAGAGCCGGTGGCCATGCCCTGACCTTGGGCCCTTGCCCTATCATGCAGGTGCCCAGTGAATGCAGTTCTCACAGCGCCTCCTGCAGTCCGGAGTGGGGCAGTGCGCTGGAGTTCGGCTCCAACCCAGGAGGTAAGTGAGGCCTGACCTTGTCACCTGGGCTCCACCCTTTATCCCTTCCCCAGGCCAGGTCCCCCTCCCTCCCTCCCTCCCCTGCTACAAAGGCATTCCTCGCTCCAGCTCCTTTCTATGGCTTCTCCAGAGGCCTGCGGACCAAGACCCCCAACAGTGGGCTGGGAGGGTCCACCACCTCGCTGGGGCCTGGTACTGACCTTCTCAGCAGAGAAGGTCCCTGCCCCCAGGGGTCTCTGGGAAGTGCTGAGTCAGTGCTGGGCCAGGCAGAGGGCAGCTCCAGTCCTCAGGGAGGAAGCATCCAGGCTCCACCTCAGGGTAGCTGCTTCCAAATCACAACGAGACGCATGCGCACTCGGGTGTGAACACACACACACCCCTGCACAACCCTTCCGGGCCTCAAGATCCCACCCCAGTAACACTGCCCTGCCTTCTCACAGATCATCTGCTGTCAGCTGACCCCACAGATGCCCACAACCTGCACTCCCTCACCTCCATTGTGGACAGCATTGCCGTGGAGGACGTGTCTGTGGCCTTCCCAGATGAAACCATGGCCAACTGAACCGGGCCTACTGGGCCGGGTGCCCGTGCCAGATGCCAACGCCGCTTCTATAGCAGGGGCCTCAGAAGCCAGGCCGTTCCGATGCCAGGCTGCCAGCCCTGGGCTTGCCACGGGCCAGACCTCCCCCTCCACATCCCTGTCAGGTCCAGACACTGCCCAGCAAGGAAAGGGGGGGTCCTCCTCTCACTGAGGCCTTTCTCCAGTGTGTCCCCTTTCTCCAGGGAGACCAAGCCTGGGACCAGAGTGCCACCTTGGGTGTGCCCCGGCTCGGGGCCAACTTGGGAACCTCCTCCTCGTTGCTACTAATTCCACCTCTCCACCCCACTCCTGAGAGCCAGTGCCAGTGTCCTGACCACCCCCTCCCTGTGCTGGCCTCTTTCCCTGATGCCAGGGGCTGGGCTGGGCCCACCCTGGGCGGAGAGAAGAGCGGGGGAGGGACAGCCTTCTGTGGCCAGGTCTCCAGCCAGACTCTGGCAAGGAACATGGGGAGCCTTCCAGTAGCTTCATGTTTTCTGTTGTGTTGTGTGTTGTTTGTAAAGCTGCCATCTGACCAAGGCCTCCCTGGCTCAGGGGGCGGGGGCAGGGCTCGCCAGTGATTTTGTTTGTAATTAAGTAGCGTGTGGTTTTGCCATTTTAATTTTTTTTTTTTTGCTAACTTATTTTGGATTTCCTTTTTTAAAAAATGAAATAAAGACTGGTTGCTACAAAGGTGTCTACGGTGATGTTGGGGGAGGGGGTGCTGCCTCAAGGTTTTGCTTGGCTGCTGGGGCCCCCTGCTCTTTTGCCATGACAATAGCCGGGTGGTGCTGCTGCCTAGGCTGGGTGGAGGGAACCTGCAGAGCCCTGGGCTGCAGCCTCATTCACAGCAGCTGCTTCTGCCTACCCTCCTCCATGCAGCCCACAACACCACTGGCTACACACTCCTGCACCCTGCACTGTCTGTGCCAGGGCCATGGACATGCCCAGAGGCGGTAACCTTATAAATCTGCCACTTTCCCTTACATGCCAAAGAACACACCACCTACCACCCTCTGCCATTCCCCCAGGTAGAAGTAGATTCTGGCCCCTGCCCACGGCACAGAACATGATAGAGACTGCGCTGGGGGAGAAGAGGCTGCTGAGAGGAAACCAGGAAGTTAACAAGGGCCACCTTCTAAAAACGTCAGCATTAATCCCAACTGCTTTCAGCTGAGAGTACACGGTTGATTGTGACTTCTAACTCTGAGTCATGACCAAAGGTTGGGGGCTTCTCGGCTGTGCTCCATGGCAGGTGGTCACAGCAGGAGACAGCAAGCAAGGCTGCCTCCACACTAGGAGCTTGAGGTGCCAGAGGCCAGTACCCAGGCTGGCTGTAAAGCCTCAGCTCTCAGGGCTACTTCCGCTCCCCATCACCCACTTCAGAACACCTAGCAATGCATTCTCCCTCCCCACTCGGGTCCAGGGCCTCTGACACCTCTTAAGCTCCCGTGGGTACAGCCCTGCTGCCTCCTGCTGTGACCATCCCACACCTTGCCCTCCTCCTTCCCAGGAGCCAGCCTAGGACACTCCGCTCCTGTGGAGGTGATGGGCACTGGGCTTGCATCTCAATCTGCTCTTGGGAAGCCAAGGTTCATGGACTCACTCTGGGAGCAACAAGCTGCCCTAAGTGAGGGCATCAGGGTCAACGCGCCCGGCATTGTCAGGCTCAGCCGCTGCCTGCTGACCTGCTCACAATCTACAAATCCCAAGGGAGAGACAACTGTGGTGGCTGTGGAATGCATGGGCGTGAACCTTGCTTAGCAGGAGTCCGGATGCGCTTCTTACTGTAACAGGAAAAAAAAAAAAGAATTGTTGCTAAAGTCTTGGGGCTTCCTTCAATGAACAAGTTCTTCACCTTCACTGTGCAATTACAGATAAGGCTCCAGTTAATGAGTAATGAGCAGTGCTCTCTAGGGAAGTGAGCGGAAATCATTTTTTCAGAGGCAACACCTACAACACATTAAACTGGATTCATCAACCAGTGCCTGATAACCGGCCTCAGGGAATCGGCTAGAATGAAAAGATAAGAATTCCTTGACACCGACTTGCCAACTGCCAGTGTGAGCTGGAACCTGCCAGTGTTTAGATCATTCGTGGTTGGCAAAAGGCCTAAAGCACAGGTCAACAAACAGCCCCAGGTAGCAGCTGACGGTTCCAACCCACGCCTTGACAGGCTGGACAATCCTTGTTAGGGCTTCAGGTGGAACAGGTGGCTAAACCAAAGGGAGAGGGAGGCAGACGGACAAGTGGAGAGGAGAGGAACCCCTCAACCCAGGGGTATCTCACAGACAGACGCCATTCCCAACCTGCTTCATGCCTGGGACTTCTTTACACTGCTGCTGTCTGGGCTTCACACTGGATTAGAGGAACCTGGCATACTCCCACATGATGCCCCCGGCCGGGGCAGGTATGCCCTTCTGTGACGCTGTTCTCCCACAGGCATGGCTCTCTTACTCTGCCAGGATCATCACCAAAGGGGGCAAAAGGAAGGAAGAATCCCGGATTTCCAGTGTTTTCCACAAATGTCAACAACAGTGTGACGCTGGGGTCTCGGCTCCGGCTTGGCATGTCCAGATTCCCATTGTCAGTGGACAGCAGCGCAAGGAAGGTGTTCCCTCTGGATCGCCTCTCCACAGCCAGTGGGCGCCAAGGCTCCGGTGCCACCCTTGATGGTGGCTAGTTGCCAGGCCAGAGCCTTGCCTGTTTGCCTCTGCCAGCCTGTGTTCCTTCTGTCGTCCATACCCATGGGCCCTGCCATCCCTGTTCTAAAGTATTCGGGCCATGGTTGTCCTCTGATCGTACACAGGGACACACAGTGCACTGAGCTGCCCGGATGGGGATTCTTTTAGGTGAGCAAAGAAACACAGCACAGTGAAGACACCCAGCCATGGGGGACCCCAGGAGTAGACCAGACAAAGGGAGCAAGAGCGGCTCGGGAAGGTGGGCTGCGGCGGTGAAGAACACTGAGCAGTGGTCAGAACTGTGGCGGAAGGCAAGGCCCCTTTCCCAAGCTGTGCCATTTTGCCTTATGATTTGCTGCTCCAGGAAATGGCTGGATTACACAAGGATTGAACAAAGTGTCCAGCCTGGGCTGTGCCTTGAATGCGTAGACTTCAGAAGCAAGGCCTCCAGTGACCGACCAGGCCCTCGCAGACGGGTTCGGTGCCCTGGGGTAGCATGAGAAGGAAGCCTGCTGGTCCTTTTTCTCCCTTTTGCCCCAGAAGGCAAAAGCCAGAAGGCACAGGCCTTCACCAGACAGCAGGCTGTTTGCATTCCTCAGTCATTACAAGCGAGAGAAAAGTCTCTACTGCTTGTTAGCAACCCTGCCTAAGGTGTTTTGTGCAGCAGCAAGAAAACTCAGGACAGCTCAGCCTCCATGCCTGCCCCAGGAACACTCTGACTCGTGTTCGTTCTCAGATAACCCTCCGAGATGAGTCAGCTGCACTGATACACTGAAGCATGGCTACCTACTGGGAACACAGGGCACAATGGGACTGGCCTAAGGGAACATCCTAGCAGTCCATCACGTGGCAACAAGGAGAGCATTACCACCGCTGGGCAGCAAGCATGGCATGCCTAGGGGGCTCAGGGATTGGGCACCATCTCATTCTGCCAGCAGCTGGAAGCCGCAGGGCGGCTGGCGTCAATGCTTCTGAGTTAGGCCAACTGGACAAAGGGGAGGAGATAAGGCCCCAGCAGCCAGGGCGTCCTAAGGCGCGAGGCTAGCACCTCCCTCAAGGTGGTGTGAGCTGCTGAAAGTGTGGGCAGCAGAGCAATATGGGCAGAGGCGTGAAGTGTGCCAGCTCTGGGGCAGCATGGCAGAGGGAAAAGAGCCAAGTGTCCAGACCCACAGCAAGGCTGTCCCCTCTGTCACCTCATCCTCTACACCCCAGCACAAGCAAGCACACACACAGTGTGTGAACTGGGTTTCCTAAAATTCCGATATTTCCTTCCCAGAGAACAGCAGCAATTCACATTGGAAAAGCAGCTGTTATATGGGGGGTAGGGGAGGAAAAGAAAAAGAAGCTGTTTGTACACAGTTTTAAAACCAAGCTTTGTTTATTGGTAGTACACACCCCCACTCACCCCCACGTCCATTCCTGATGCACAGAGCTGATACAGTACCGAGAAAGAACCTGACAGGGCAAGGGAAGTTGGTGGGCGGGGCTTGGGGTCCAGGCAACTCTCCAGAGAAATGTTTCACTGGGCTACGAAGTAAGGGGCTTGTGAGTCACCAGCCCTCCACCTGTGGGTGCACCGATTTCCTTCCTGTCACCTCCCAGCAGTCTTTCCCAAGGGGCCTTGAACAGAGCCGGCTGCCCCCAGCTGGTGACAGGCTGAGCTGCAGGGAGCAACAGGCTGTGGCTGCGTGTCGGCAGGAGTCAGCTGGCGGCTAGCGATCCCCTCTTCCGCTCTTAGGGACCTGAGGATTCACCATCACCTGATACCCTATGCCTGTAACACAGGCCCTTTCTCTTCAGTCCATTCACTCTTAGCAGCTTCCCCCTTCTCCCTGCCTTGCAGTCTGATGGTCAGCCAGGGCAGGGCACACTAGGGAACGGCAAGGGCAGGTGGCTGCCTGGCCCAAGCCAAAGGAAAAGGCACAAAATCAACCTGTTCCCAGCAGAGACATGGCAGAGGTCTGGGTGCTCTGGCAAGGCCTCGGGCTCTGGTTCCACCTGCACATGGTGCTCCATCTTTTCTGCCAGCCCAGCCCCTGCTCAGAGCACAGCCAGACGTTCCCGCCCCTTTCCAAGAGAGAGGCTGGGAGGTTCTCCTCCTTCGCTTTGAGGAAGCCTGGGTCCCACCACCTGGCCCTGAACCTGGATCTCAAACATGCTCTGGCACCCGGGAAGGATGGGGAGCGGATGAGACAAGGGGGCTATGGGGCAGCGGCAGCCCTGCTCAGCCTCATCCCTCATGTCCCCGGGTTCCCCCGTGCTGCCTGGGAAAGTCACAAAGACAGTGCAAGTTGGGCAAAA